CGTTTCATTTTCCTATTTCTTTTTTTTCTTTTTTTTGCTCCACCTCCGATGGTGAGAACTACAAATTGCGTTGGGAAAACGAAGAATGCCAGAGCTGAGGCATTCATGGCATTGTGTTCCTAATGGCGTTTTGTCTTCTATTTTATTTTTTTTAAGATTTTTTTATAACAAATAATTCCGGACCATAATAACATGAAAGATGCTGATGCTGATACACATATGGGAATGGTGATGGGAATTACGATGTGGATGAGGTTGCCTTATCTGCCTTGCTGACATGACGTTGGCGATTAAAGCAAGTCGTCTTGTTGACTTTGTGTGACTCAGCCGGGGTATATCAGATATTTTGTGATCTGTCTTGCCATGGATCAGGCCTTCATTCATCAGATTTTTTTTAGATAAATGGCTTTTGAGTGGGAAAACATTTTCAATTTTTTTTTTTATTTTTATTCTTCAATTATGCCTGGCATTGTTTTTGCGTATTACATAGGCCGGTAGCTGGCTAAGTTTTCATGTGTCGTTTTGAAATTTTTTTGTTGTTGCCATTTTGTGGGACAAAAGTGCATTAAACTCTAATGCTGTCGTAATTTACACAACGCCACCACCACCACCATCATCAACGCCAAAATCACTGCAACGATATTCAAGCAGAGCAATTGCCAGCGAATATTTGTTTGTTTTTTGTTTTTTTTTTTTTCTGTATTTTCGTTTCTTTTTTTTTCACATCTGGTTCGTAATTATTGGCTAGCAGATCGCATATTTTCCTTAATTTACACAGCTCAGTTCAACATGTGTGTACGTCGTTCGACCTGTCTGTCCGTCTATCTCCCGATAAGTTGAAGTTACAACGTGGGTAGTTGTAAGAGCCTATGTTGTAACTCATTGCTCCGACCCACACACAGATTAGCCTGTTTTCTAAGATATTCCGGTATAATTTTGAGGGGGCAACGCAGTTAACAAGACAATCCTGGATGGCAATTTTTTCTTTGCAACTTGGGGTAAAATTTTAAGAGCGAACAATAAAAATAAAAAAAAAAGTTCCGACAAAGTCAAAGGCCATAATTTTAACATTTTTTTTTAAATTTTAAAATTTTTTTAAATGAAAGCAAAAAATATCGGAAATAGCATCAAATTTTAGAATAAGTTTAGATTTGTTCGAATTGGTCACCTTTGACACGAATTATGGCCTTCAAACGGCCAATGAAACCGTCACACGCTGCCTGAAAGTTGCAGTGCGGGATTTTGACCCATTCCCGGCGAAACGCTTGCTTAAGGTGATCGATACTTTCGTATTTTTTAGTGCCAACCTAGCTTGGGGTTAAATTTTAAGAGCGGGCAATAAAAATAAAAAAAGTTCCGACAAAGCCAAACCCCATAATTTTAACATTTTTTTTTTAATTTTTAAATTTTAATTAATGAAAGCAAAAAATGCCGGAAATGGCATCAAATTTTAGAATAAGTTTAGATTTGTTCGAATTTGTCACCTTTGGCATGAATTATGGCCTTCAAACGGCCAATGAAATCGTCACACGCTGCCTGAAAGTTGACCTGCGAAATTTTGGACCATTCCCGGAGAAGCGCCTGCTTGAGGTGATCGATACTTTGGCATTTTTTTGTGCCAAGCTTGCTTTCCAAAATACTCCAGAGACAATAGACCAACGGATTGGTATCCGGAGATTTTGGTGGCCATTGTGAGCTGGAAATGAAGCGAGGAACCAATGATTACAAACATTCTTGGGATGAGTGCAATGGTGTTGAGACACGTTGAAATGTCCAAGGTCTGCGACCAAAATGTTTGCGTGCCCAAAGCTATAATACGCCCTCCTGAATGTTTTCGCGATAATATTCGGCATTTTCCTGATGCCACGGTCGATTAATACGAGCGGAGAGCGACTAGCAGCTGTTATGGTGGCCCACACCATCACCATGGCCGGCGCTTGAGTTCTGGTGGCCAGCCGAAGGTGCACATTTTCAGCTGACCTCTTTCGCCTCTTTGGCAAGTAAACACGATCATTTTGTTTGTTTACAGCAACAACAACAACGAATGTTTTCTCATCGGAAAAAAAAAACAAATTCGACACTTCACCACTTTCGGCCAAGCAAACCAATTCTTTAGCTCTTTTCAGTCTATTTTCTTTCTGTCGGGGGTTAAGTTCTTGCACTTTTTGAAATTTCAATGGCCTTACCCCGAGCTCATACACAAAACATACAATATTGGGTTTCGGAATTTATCTCGGAAATCAATCTCGATTCCTGGGGCTCTCGGGTTTTTTTTTTTTTTTTTTTTTTTGATGGAAATAACCCCGATTCCTGAGGGACCGGCAACGTTTCTATGGTAAAAATACGATTCCTGGGGTCTCGAAATTACTTCTAAGAAAAAAAACATCCATCCCTGGGACCTCCAAATGCTTTCAGATTATTTTTTATTTTTTTTTTTTTATTTTATTTTATGTTTTTACTTTTTTGATAAAAAAACTCTAAAATTTCGTAATTTTGTTTTTTTTTTCGTTAAAAATCAAAAAAAAATCAATTTCCCAAATTTCTTTTTCAAAAAATCAAACAACTTTCCCTGGGGTCTCGAAATTGCTTCTAAGAAAAAAAACATCCATCCCTGGGGCCTCCAAATGCTTTCTAAGAATAAAAACGCGATCTGTGAGCTTTCAGATTATTTTTTATTTTATTTTATGTTTTTACTTTTTTTGATAAAAAAAATCTAAAATTTCGTAATTTTGTTTTTTTTTTTTTCGTTAAAAATCAAAAAAAATTTAAATTTCCCAAATTTCTTTTTCGAAAAATCAAACAACTTTCCCTGGGTTCTCGAAATTGCTTCTAAGAAAAAAAATCCATCCCTGTGGCCTCTAAATGCTTTCTAAGAATAAAAACGCGATCTGTGAGCTTTCAGATTATCTTTTTTTATTTTATGTTTTTACTTTTTTGATAAAAAAAAACTTTAAAATTTCGTAATTTTGTTTTTTTTTTTTTTTCGTTAAAAATCCAAAAAAAATAAAATTTCCCAAATTTCTTTTTCGAAAAATCAAACAACTTTCCCTGGGGTCTCGAAATTGCTTCTAAGAAAAAAATCCATCCCTGTGGCCTCTAAATGCTTTCTATGAATAAAATCGCGATCTGTGAGCTTCCAGATTTTCTTTATTTTATTTTATTTTATTTTTTTTATTTATTTTTTATTTATTTATTTTTTTTTATTTATTTATTTTTTTTTTATTTATTTATTTTTTTTTTATAAAAAAAACGACTGAAATCTCGTAGTTTTGTTTTTTTTTTTTTTTTTTTTGGTTAAAAGTTATTATTATTATTATTATTTATTTACTTATATATTTTTTTTTTTTTTTTTTTTTGATAAAAGATCCTCTTAAATCTCGTAGTTTTGGTTTTTTTTTTTTTTTTTTTTTTTTTTAAAAATCGAAAAAAAAATTTCCCAAATTTCTTTTTTCGAAAAATCAAACAACTTTTCCTTTCATTCATTTCTTTTAATTTTTCTTTTTTATTTCATTTTAATTTTTTTCGAATTTCTATTTTCGTGTGTTTCAAAGACAAAAAAAGACATCGAGAGAATAGTTTGTGTGTTTAAATGTTTATTTTTGGGTGTGCGTTTTTTTATTGTAGTTTTTGTTTTTTTTTTACAACGGCACACATTTCAATAATCCCCTGAGTCGCTGCATGGCTTTTCTAAGGTGCCGCAGTGAGAAGGAAGTGCGATTATTTAAAGTTCATTGAATGTTTGTCTTTAGTTTTAGTTTTCGATTTATTTTTTTTCTGTTTTTGTTTTTTATTTTCAGGAAAACATTTAAATATTTTGTTTAATGGCAATAGGCATGAATCTTCAAGGAGGGCGAACCAAAAAAAAAAATGTTGAGCTAAATTCGAAATAGGAAATTCGAAAAAGAAAGATGTTTATTTTTAGAATTTTGAAGAAAGTTGAAAAGATTTCAAAGGAGAAGTTTTTTGTGCGCTCAAGTCAGACAGATGGAAAGGTGGACAGAAGGAGGAATGTCTCTAGATTAACTCCAAATGTCCTGAAATGAATTTTGTCCAAAGAGACCAAGGGTCGAAAAAGTTACTTTGATGAGCCACGTTTTGGCCGTTGCAAATGACAAATGGTCAATGGTATAATAAATCTGCCCAAAAAAGACGAGCCCAGGAAGGACTACATAATTCCAGTGCAAAAAAATAAAAAATGGTATTTTAATAAATTAATTATTAATTACTATTATAAATTCTAGTATTCAAGAAATTTTTTTAAAAAATTATAAAAAAATCATGTACATATATTATAAAATATATAATATTTATTTACATGCACCTAAATTTAAATTATCCGATTTTTTTAAATTTCCAACTAGAACGAGCAAATTTTTTCTAAACTTCTAAACTTTTGTTCTATATTTTTAAGTTATTATGTTTTTATTTTATATAAATTTATTAATACAAAAATTTATTTTCGAACTTACTAAAATTTTTTTAAATTATTGAAATTAAAAAAAAATATATTTAAAGAAATTTCCTGGTCAAGCCTCTTGCAATATAAGTCCAAAAATATATTTTATTTTATAATATAGTCATATTTTCTTATCTAGAATTGCATGTAAAAGAATTCAAAATTATTTCCATTCTTAATTTACCGACTAGAAAGTGCAATAATTTAATTAATTTTAATAATAATTAATTTATTTTATATTTACTTAATTTTTATTTATATTTTATAGAACGTGCAAATTTGTGTCTAAATCTAAAGCAGGCCCAGGCAGAGAGCCACACATTTATTTGCTCCCATTTTAATTGCTCTCTGATTACATTGTTTTTTTAATCGTCCCAATTGTGAGTGTGGAGAAAATGACACTCAGAGAAGGCTTGCGTGCCTACTCTTGCCTGGCCCTTGACTAGAGTGCAAAATACATTCTCTACATAATTCCTACTCTACTCAAAAAAAGTTGCAAAGAGCATAGCATGGCATAGAGGAGACAGTAGAAATAGATACTTACAGTTAGATTTGCCTGCGTGTATTTTTTGTTTTTATTTTATTTATAATAAATACAAAAATTAGAAATTAGCAAATATAGAGTTAGTCATAGAAATAGTACAGTTATAGAAGAGTAAAGATATGGAAATAGTTATAGATAGAGTGTGTGTTAGAATTTGTTTGGAAAATTTCCTATGAAATTTATTTTTTTTATTTCCATTACGAATTTTTTGCGTTTTATAAATATGGTTGGTATTACAACAACAAAAAGAGGATAGTGAACGGAAATTGTTGATAGAATTTGCATATGTGAATGTTTAGTTTTTGGATCGAGACAAGGGAGAACGTGACAAAATGAGAGAACGGGCTGGTTGGCTGGCTGGCTAGTGTGGCGGACTATGAATGAATAGTTTTTGCTATTATTTTTGAAATTTATGCATGTCATATATGTGTAATATATATGTGTGTATGAGTTTGTGGTATTGAAAGAAAGAAGAATCTGACGTCATATATAGATATATATTTTTTAAGTTTTACGTGTGTTGTTTGAAACTTTGATCGAGGGTAGAAAGAAATATTATTTTTTATTCTTTTTTTTCTATTTTTCTTTGGGTTCTTTTTTGAGTTTATGGCTAATAAAATAAAGTTTAACTTGAATGTGTCATTCACATTGCCTTTTTACTTTGTGTGTAAAATAAGCTAGTGACTTTGCCTTACATTCAGTAAAGGTGGGGGAGGTTTGTGGTCGTATGGGGTACTTTTTGTAATAAAAATAAGAAAAAAAACTACAAGGAAAAAGATAATAAAAATAATTTTTCGAATACAAAGACCAGCGGTTATTTACTATAGATTTCTTTTAAGATTTAAATACAGAAAATAATTTTTAATATTTACGAAAATCACTAAAACAATTTTCTATATAAAATGTAAATAAATATATAAATATTAATATTAATATAATATTAATAATTATTATTATTAATATTTATTAGTATTAAAAATTACATATTAAATATTAAATATTTAATTATTAAATATTGAATATTAAATAATAAATACTAAATAATAAATATTAAAAAATAAATGTTAAATATTAAATATTTAATATTAAATATTAAATATTATATATTAAATATTAAATATTAAATATTAAATATTAAATATTAAATATTGAATATTATATATTAAATTTTAAATGTTAAGTATTAAATATTAAATATTAAATATTAAATATCAAATATTAAATATTAAATATTAAATATTAAATATTAAATATTAAATATTAAATATTAAGTATTAAATATTAAATATTAAATATTAAATATTAAATATTAAATATTAAATATTAAATATTAAATATTAAATATTAAATATTAAATATTAAATATAAATATTAAATATTAAATATTAAATATTAAATATTAAATTAAATATTAAATATTAAATATTAAATATTAAATATTAAATATTAAATATTAAATATTAAATATTAAATATTAAATATTAAATATTAAATATTAAATATTAAATATTAAATATTAAATATTAAATATTAAATATTAAATATTAAATATTAAATATTAAATATTAAATATAAATATTAAATATTAATATTAAATATTAAATATTAAATATTAAATATTAAATATTAATATTAAATATTAAATATTAAATATTAAATATTAAATATTAAATATTAAATATTAAATATTAAATATTAAATATTAAATATTAAATATTAAATATTAAATATTAAATATTAAATATTAAATATTGAATATTGAATATTAAACATTAATATTTTCTTTGTTATATTTGCTTTCGCAAATTATATCTCAAATTATTTGTTATTTTAAATTCTTTTAAAAAATCTAAAAAAAATTCAATTATCTTCAAAAATCTTTAATGTTTGCCTCACACCTTTCTTTGTTGTGCTTGCCAAAAAAAGACGAATTTGAATAAATTAATAATATTTGAAACTGTAATCAATTCTATGCAATGAGTTAAAATTAGACAATGACCACTTAATACGTGGTGGCTAAACGGTAAACAATTTACCAAAAAACGAAAATATGACACAACAAGTAGCTGTTTAGTGGCTGCGAAGAAATGACAAAATTTTTTGCGTTTTTGTTATTTTTCAAAATCAACAAATGCTTTATTTTTGAAAAAGAAAAAATTACTTACCAAATATTTTCAAATGTGTTAAAATTTTCGTTTGGAATTTCTTGAAAAAAAAAATTAAAAATTCTTTCAAATTTTTGTTTTCAATTGTTTATTTATTCTCACTTCGTATAACAATTAGTAATAATGAAATATTGTGCAAAATACTGAAAAATATTTCCTTATTGCTTTTTTGTCTAAATTGGTACTTTGTTTAGCTTTCGAACTTGTTGCTACCTGCCTCGAAATAAAATTTCCAATTTTCCCCTAACTAAAAATAGATTTTGAAATAAATACATTTTGAAAAGCGGTTGTTGATTGTGAGGTATTTTTATGTTGGCTGAGAAGAAAAAAAAAACATAAACATAACAAAAAAAATAATAGGAAAAGTGGCAAGTGGTTGAGGTTCGATCAAAGATCAAAAGCGTGGTCAGCACACGTTGGGAAAAAATGTAGATTTTTTAAATAAATTGAATAAAATCAAACAAAAAACAAACTCAAATAAAAAATAAAATTGAAAAAAAAATTCTAAGAAAATTCAGTACAGCGGACCCTTTATAAATAATAGCAGAAGCAGTCATTCTGACTGAATATCCCAAAATGTAAATCATTGTTGTTATCCGCTCTTGTTATCCTTTTGAGAATTTTAACACTCATTGGTATAATTGTACCAAAATGTCCCCCATTATTTCATATTCCATTAATTATTATGTTATAAATTAGCATTTTTTAATCAAATTATATGAAAACCCATTTTTAACATTATTTCTTTCTCTCATTATTTCCCATCTTTAACGATATGCAAACACTTTGAAAAAAATTTATTTCCAATCATTAAATATTTCTTCAGTTATGCCTCATTAATTCGCATCTGTTTAATTAAATTGAACAGAAACCCAAATTTTTTAAATATTCCTCTCGCTATCTATCTTCGCACTTAGATTTTCTATTTGTTAAATAATATTTATCCCATTATTTCATAGACTTTAATCAATTTCTCCAATTGGGTAGATAAATCCCATTAATCCTCATATCTTCTCTTATCTCTCAATCTCTCTCTTTGCATTTCTCATTACATATATGTATTTATATATTTATCTATTTTAAATACCTCCATACATAGATTTTCCTTCTTTTTAATAATATTTATCCCATTAATCCCCCTCTTCAAAATTAATTTTTGTTAAAAAATAATATTTTCTTCCTCCACCCTAAGCCTCAATAATTTCCTTTTTATCATTAAAAATGCATTTCACATCCATTTCTCTAATCATTTGTTTTATCTCATTAATCCTCTTCTCCCTAATTGATTTCAATGGAATATCCATTTGTTCATGTTATTTATATTACATATTCTCTTATTGGAATCCGTTCCCATCTTCACTCGTTTTAATACACCTTTATACGCCTTTACATGTGTCTGGCAACATAACCTCAACTGCTACTGCTTCTTCTTCTTCTTAAAATTCCATCACTGTTCATTGTTGTTTCTAATCGTTTTAATGGCAATCCAACATATGTATATGTATACGAATTCTTCTTAAATGATTAATCCAATTGGGTGTGTACTCTCCCAAGAGCACAGAACTTCCCTCCCCTCACTCCCCTTTGGCAATATTCTAATACACAAAAATATAACAACAAATATAATTGTAAAGTAAACAAAAACAAAAACAACAACAGAATAATTCTAAACATGAGCCATAATAATAGGAGGCAGAGCAAGTAAACAGTAGAAGTAGTAGTAGCAACACTAAACAACAATAACAACACCAACAATTGTGGCAGCAACAATAAATTCCTCCCATCAGCAGAGATTCTCTCACATTCAATAAGTATGGTGGGAGCCAAATGTGAGTGTGTGTGACGCACACTGTTATCCACGATGTGGAGTATTACAGTAATGTTTAATGGAGTGAGAGAGAGAGGAAGAATTTATGAAGGGAGCCCAAATGACTTAAGTGTCATATTAAAGGGTGTTATAAAGAATTAAGTGGATATAATCAACAAATGAAAAGAAGCGAAAAACAACAAAAACAATTCTATAACAAAATATGATAATACAGTGGAAACAAGCTTTATGCAATGTCTATTAACAATAGTCCATTAGAAATGTATATTCATGCAGTGAATCTCTCAAATCGATGAGTAGGAAATTCTTTTTATGGTAAAAGGAAGAGAGACAGAGAGAGGGAGAGCTTGTAAAGGCATTTCAAGCTTTAAGTGTTATTCTTAAAGGGTGTAGTACAGAATTAAGTGGAGAAAAGAGCAAATAACACATGGAAGTAGAAAAGAAAGCAAGAAGTCAAAAGGAAACCCTGATACAGAAAGATCTCATTAGAAAAGTATTCTCATGCAGTGTTTCTTTAAAATCGATGAATGGGAAATTATTTTTATGGTAAAAGGAATTTGGTGGAGAGAAAGAGAGAGAGAGAGAAGTAGAGATTCATTATGTGTTATTCTTAAAGGGCGTAGTACGAAATTTAGTGGAGATAAGTGCAAAAAACACATGGAAGTTAAAAAGGAAGCCAGAAGTCAACAGGAAACCCTGATACAGTAGGATCTCAATAATGGCGTTATAAGAAGGTAATACACAAGGGGCTGGATTCTTGTTCAATGAAAATATGAAATGAAAAATATTTCCTTTATAATTATTTTTAATTGGAAATTTCTTTCCTTTTTAAAAATTTTCATTTCACATTTTTATAGAACAAGAATTGAGGCCCGGATTTTCAAAAAATTCTCTCTCTCCTTTTCGTTCGTCAAAAATACAACATTTATAGTAGCGGCTGGCTCCCTTGGGTTCTTTTAAACAAGCCCATACTGTATCAACAACTTTAAAACGCAATTAATTGAAAACCGAGACTTCTT